GTGGATCTCTGCCTCTGGAATGCTAGGATTAAAGGTGTGTGTGCCACTATTTTCTGGCCTCTATATCTAGTGGCTGTTCTGTTCTCTGACCCCAGATAAGTTTATTAGGGTGCACAATATTTTAGGGAACACAGTATCACCACAGGGAGGACACAGCTCATTGCTCTCTGCAGGGAGAGAGAGAATATAGCAGTCCCGGGAAAAATGATCTGTGGCCCAAGTGTCTCTACATATGCCTCTGGGTGTGCTGTGGAGGTGAGGTCCTGACTAGTTTGTTAGAGTTGTGGTTTGGTGAACAACTCCAGGGGATAAAATAATACCTATCCTGCCCACAGCTAGTAATATCTCTCTCTCTCTCTCTTTCTCTCTCTCTCTCTCTCTCTCTCTCTTCCTTAATCTCTGAAGAAAACTTTATCATGGAACTCACTCTGTAGACCAGGCTGGCCTCAAACTCACAGAGATCTGCCTGGCTCTGCCTCCTGAGTGCCGGGATAGAAGGCGTGCGCCATCACAGCCCAGCTCAGCAGATTCTTGACAGTGCCTAGTTGCCTTTGGTTTTGAACTGTCACCTCACTACATGGCCACCCGATCTCTTCCTGTGACCCTCAGGGTGACTAACTCACAACCCCAAGAGTTCCCTTCAGGACAAAATTCAGGCCAAGTCACTGCCAAATGATGGGCTCCTCTAGAACACATCCATCTCTACGCCCTTCATCTTGTTATCTCTCTGATTAAAAGGCATCATCAGCGTGAACTCTGCCATCTCTACACTCCTCCTCTTGGGTCTACAGGACACGTAGGTCTGGGGACAGGGAGGGGTAAGGCATAGAAGTCAGAATGAAGCCCTGTGCCTTCTGAGACATTGTATTCGTCAAACACTTAACCTACTCATTGTGACAAGTCCCCAGTGTGAATCACTAGTTATATGAGCACAAAGAAGAATAAGACAGAGCCAAGGATTTGGAATAATAGCTGTATGGTTCTGTTAAGAATGAAGGTATTCTGCAGAGAGGCCTTTGTGTCCTCTCTTTGGCCAATAGACTATTGAGACAATGGACCCCAAGGAATTAGAAGTCTCTTTCAGGGAGAGAGAAAAGCCAAAGCCTGGTGCCAGGCAGAGAGGGAGCTTGTCTCCCAGGAAGAGCTGGGACATTGATGGGTCAGTGTGGGCAGGGCCACACCTTGACAGGATTGCTTAGTTATTAAAACTTGGTACCTTCTATTTACACTTATGTAAGCAACCCTGAAGATGGACTGACTTTGTTCTTCCTAGTGTGGCTGCACTGACTACATCGCCTTCCTCTGCGTTAAGCTATGATTATCCTCTGAACCTGGAGTTATAGGTGTGTGTGTGAGGGGAGGGGGTATGTTCCAAGGTCATGTGCAGAGGTCAGAGGACAACTTGTGAGTCAGTTCTCTCCAGCCACTTGGGACCTGGTGATTGAACTCAAGTCATCAGGCTTCATGGTGAGTGCCTTAGCCTGTTGAGGCATCTTGCTGGCCCCATTATTTGTCTCCTGAAACAGTATATTAAGGATGGGTGGACAAGTCTGACTTATTGGGGCTTCCAGGGCCCAAGTCTTGACCCTGAAAATCCCAGAAACAACACTATTAGAATTTGTCCACGGAGGCTGTTGGAACAACACAGGAAAGCATGGAGCACATTGCTGGCCACAGTAGCCTCCAGTAACCAACATCTCAACTTCCCTTCAAATTCAGTCATGGAGCTGGGCAGTGGTGGTGCACGCCTTTAATCCCAGCACTCTGGAGTCAGAAACAGGTGAATCTCTGCGAGTTTGGGGCCAGTCTGGTCTACAGAGGGCATTCCAGGACAGCAAGGCTACACAAAGAAACCTTACTTTAAAAAAATTTAGTCATGGAAGGCAAAGAACTGGAGAAGAGGAGGGGAGGGTGGTGGTTTGAATGAAAACAACCTCCATAGGCTCATATGTTTGATCACTTGATTTTCCAGTTGGTGGAACTGTTTGGGAAGGACTAGGAGGTGTGGTCTTATGACTTCAGTGGGCTCTGAGGTTTCAAAAGCCAACACCACTTCCAGTTAGCTTTCCCTCCCCTCCTACTTTCAGGTAAGGGTGTGGACTCTTAGGTACTGCTCTAGCACCATACCTGCCTATCTGCCACCACGATTACTTACCACACCCTCTGAAACTGTAAGCCACCAATAAATTCCTTTTTCTGTAAGCCACCTTGGTCATGGTGTCTTCATAGCAGTACAGAGGTAAGCCAGAGAGTTAGGACTAGATAAAGGATAAAAGAAGTGTCCTGAGAAAGACAAGGGTTCCTGCCCTCAGGACTCAACTCTGAATTTATTTAGATGACTCTAGAATGTCGTGAAACACTTGGGCTCAGGGGCTAAAGATGCCTGTCACCAAGCCAGTGATCTGAGCTCCATCCCTGGAACCCACATGGTGGAAGGAGAGAACCGACTCCCCAATGTTATGCTCTGACCTCCATGCTTCAAACCATGGCACTGGTGTGCGCGCAACACACACACACACACACACACACACACACACACACACACACTGAATAAATAAAATTTAAGTTTAAAAATTTGTAAATAAAACAGTGATAGGCAAATTCAACAGTTGCTTTATTGTTTTTATCCCGTGCCACATGTGCTTCCCGAGCTACTGTCATGAATGTAGGGGTGATGCGTGGTCTGTTACCCTGGGGATCCGGTCATGAGTCGTGGGTCAAATCTCTGAGCAAAGGTGAAGATAGGTGAGAGTGGGACAAGCTTGTTTGGAATCACCCCAGTTCCTGAGGCCCACATGGCTGTTTACAGTTCACTTTTGGAGAAGTGGTCTTTTGTGTTTCTGGGGTTCCTTGTCAAAGCCAAGTCCACAGCCTCCTGAATGTTCTTTGCCACCCTGAGCCCTGACTTGATAGCAGTGTCAATCCAGCCATGGGGCATATCTGTGTGCTCACCTGCGAAGAAGACTGGCCCTTCCGGCTGGCTGAGTTCCTGGGCATAGTCCACGTACTGGTAAGGGGTGAAGAAGGCAAAGCCACCCATGGAATAGGGGTCTTGGCTCCAGTTCTTAACTGTGAAGTAGGGACAGAGGGTCCGGAGTTCCTCTTTGTTGTGATTGTGAATAGCAGCGAGGTCATCCAGAACAATGTCCACTACCCGATTGTGGTCCAGGGCTGTGAAGAACACCGAGTCATCATCCAGGGTATAAGATGCGAGGATGACGCCGGCACCGTTGGGGAAGACGTGGTTGGGATAGTAGATGAAGCGGGAAGGCCGGTCAGTGCTAGACTTTCCGCTAAAGATGCCATCTCGTTCCCAGAAACGCTGTGTGCAGGCCAGGATCACTTTGGTGGCACTATTATAATGGACAGAGCGCAGAGCATCCTGCTTGTTTAGAGAGAGAGATGGCTGGAATCGGAGGAGCCGGGCAGCCTTGGCAGTGGTGGCTACCACCACAAAATCTGCAGTCAGCCGCGCCCTGGGCTGCAGAGGGTCAGGTGTCCTGTAGGTCACGTGGACGCAGTCTCCAGACATCTCCACTTCCTCTGCTGGTGAGTAGAACCAGACAGTCCCTGGGAGGAGCGAATTGTGTAGGGCCTGGGGGAGCTGGTCAAAGCCCCCAACGATTTCATCAAACCTGAGAGTGAACCAGCAGAGAAGAAGATGAGTGGGTTGATGGACAGGGCCTTCGGAGGACAGGCTGCTGGAACGGGACAATGGCTCAGTCCCTTCGCAGGTATGTCCCAGCCGTGTTTTAGAGAGACAAACAGTTGGCAAAGAACCAAAGGCAAGCGGAGTGTCCGTTAGCGCCAGGGAGCTAGAGAAAGGCACTGCTTTGGAGTGACCAAATCAGAAACGTGTGTCTACTCTGAGCTAATACAACCCCCTCCTCTGGGTCACTTACCTCCTATGGCCACCCAGGATGCCTGGTCATAAGCTGACAAACACCCAGAATTGAACTTGTCATCCTCCTGCCTCCACCTCCCAGGTTCTGAAATTATAGGCATTTGCTGCTCCTCCCAGTCTTATGTGATGCTAGGGATGGAACCCAGGACTTCCTGCGTGCTAGGCAAGCAGTCTAGCAACGAAGTCAGAACCCCAGCCCCGGTCCAGGGCTCTTACAGCCCCTTCCGTAATGTCCTGGGGGGCTGCTCAAGGAAAATATCCGAACACTACAGAGCTGTGTTACTTAGTCGGTCCTAAAACTTCCTTCCCTCCCATGCGCCCTAAAGGCAGTTCTTGGCTTGGATTCAAATTGATAAGAAGGGCAGGAGTCCGTACCAGAAGGCCAGAATGTCTAACTAAATCAATGCCCAGGCTTCACTTCAGCTTCCTGTAGCCTGTTCTGTTGCTGTTCACAAAACCAGTTCGCTTTTATCTTTTTGTTGTTGTTTTTTGAGACAAGTTGGGTCTGGAACTTCAGATCCTCCCACCCCACCTCGGGAGTGCTGGCATTACAGGTGTGCACCACCTTGCCTGGCGCCCTTTTATCTTTATAAGCTACAGATCACAGTGACCAATGGTGACTGGAGTCTCAGGTTTGCATCCCTGATAAGTCTTCCTGGGCTGAAAGATGACAAGTGTCCCTTGAAGCAGGGCTGAGGCCACAGGGCCTGTCACAGAACAGATGAGGCTCACGCTCTTTGGTAGACCTCTATCAAGAGGTTCTCAGAGTGGGGTGCCAAGGCAGGCAGCATATCAGAAGGCATGTCTCTGGGGTCCACCTTAAGTGTTTAACACCCCCATCCACTCTAGTGACTCTGGGATTTCTTGAAGTCAGGATTCCTTCCTTTCTCCTTTCTTCCCTACCCCGCTTTTTTGAGACTAGCCTTAAACTCAGAGATCCACCTGCCTCTGCCGTCTGAGTACCGGGATTAAAGGTGGTGTGCAGCACCACACCCAGTTTCCCATTTTGGAGGAATTTCCCCCTGGTTTCTTAGTCCCTCCTTTCACTTCTATCCTCATCAGTAACTAGTGACTCCCTGTCCCTGCCCCACTTCTCACCGGGGCTCTTGGAAGAAGGAGATGATGCCACGCAGGGTCTCTGTGAAGGCCTCGTAGTAGCCAGAGTCTGTGTTCAACAAGTCACCGATCATCTGCACGGCCCCACGGCTCAGGTTCCCCACCTTGATCAGGTACTCCTGTCCTCGTGCGTGAGGAAATAAGGCAAGTGGATGAGAATGTATGTATAAGGAGCTAATGTGAGCCTCGCTTCCTACCCAGGGACAGCGAGGAACAGACCTGGACAGGGTAGAAGGGCCAGTGTGTACCCTCTGAGCCCCAAGGCTGCTTTGTACCGTTGTCCAGACATGATCCCTTTGGTCCCCTGTATAGGGAAAATAGCTAACACTAAGTATAGTTTTCAGCCTACACACTCCCAGACTTTCATTCATATAATCCTCTAAATAAAGGTAAGGATTCCTGCTTTGCAGATGGGGAAACTGAGGCCCAGGCTCCGTGTCTGCCCACGTGGACCCAGCCCGGCTACTCCTGAAGCCCAGGCTAGGAAGAATCATCTGAGGACCAAAACCCTTCTCATCCTGTCCTGACCTCCCACCCCTGACCTATCACCTGCTGACCCAGCCGCTCATCAGCAAGTGACCTCAGAGCTGGCTCACGGCGCACCTGTGACCCTGATTGTGCCCTGTGCGTTTTGTCTCTGCTCCTCGTCTTAGATAAAGCCAGCACAGACGTGACAAAGCTGGCTGGCATGGCTTCACTGGTTAGCGTGGGTGACCATCTGGTTTCCCCGGGGCTGTGTTGCTCGCTCCCTGTTACTAGCACAGGCAGAGTTAAGAGGCCAGGCACCGGAAGAGCCGGCTAGGATGGCCGGACACCGCCAGGTGGGCAAAATGCCACTCTTCAACACACTTGTTTAAACCAGAGGTTAAACCACAGGGCCACGACATCCTAGGAACAGCAACACCAGGGCGCCCAAAGACGCGCTGGATCGGTTAGGACCTTCAAGGTTCAAAGCGGTTATCGCTGCCTTGGCCAAGTCTGAGGGCGTGTTCACTGGGTGTGGGTCCTGGCGATCTCTGACTTGTGTCTGTTCTCTAATCTCTCTCTCCACACCAAGGCCTTGAGTAAGCAGTGGTCAGACCACACATGGCCACGGGCTTTGATCCACCCAACCTCTGAAGCAAGCTGCCCACAGAGGCAAACCACAGCCTACTTAGAATGGTCAGGGCCTGGCAGTGACTATGAGCTTCTCTCTCAGAATCAGCCGAAGAATACCTACCACCCTCCCCTCCCCAGGCCCAGGGGTGAGCCGGCCCCAGCACCCACGAGCCAACAGCCTCCTATCGGGCCACACCTGGAACCTTCCTTGTGTTCTTGTATCTGAAGTGTTGGGTATTGAGCCCAGGGCCTCACACATGACAGGTCAGCTCTCACACCAGTGGGTTGTGCCGAAGGCCCAGGCTTTTCCGCTTTTCACTGTCGTCATGTGTTACAAAAGATGTTTTCATCAGTGGTGACCCACATATAACAGTGGCTCCCAGGGAGTGTGTGGCCAAGTGGCACCGTAGGCATCTTGGCATGTAAACGCTGTGATTTTTGCACAGCTATATAATCATCTAAAGATACATTCTGAGACATTAACCCCTTGTGAAGCAACACACACCTCCATAAGGCTTTCCCATACCTCTGTCTGTCTTTGACTCTGTGGGTATTATGGATGACTCCCTTGATACAGCAAGGTGGAATAAGTAGCTTGATTGCCCTCCATGGAGTGGTCTCTGTCTAGTTCCTCCCTCCCTCCCTCCCTCCCTCCCTCTCTCCCTCTCTTCCTTCTCTCCCTCCCCTAATGGAGCTTGCATTCTATCAGGGCAGACAGTAAAGTGCAACACGCCCCAGGTAGCAGTCCCGGCGGGGTGGTTTCAGGGCGGAAGGTCTCAGAACTGACCTTGGTGGAGAAGGAGTCATACTTCTCCAGGACCTCACGGCAGCTGCTGTTCTTCAGTTCTTCCACAATCTCAGGAGGGAAGAAGAGGGGGAGGACATGGTGAAGGTCAGCCCACAAAGATTGTCAAAGCCAGCCCACCCATCCACATGCACCACCCTTGTTCCCTTGTTCGTGTGTGTGTGTGTGTGTGTGTGTGTGTGTGTGTGTGTGTGTGTGACTTTATATGAATCCTGGGTTCCAAAACTGTGTCCTAAATCTGGGATGGTGGGAATTTCATCTCTTCTAGAATGGACACCAGGTATACAAAGGTAAGTATCCAGACTCCCCTGTCAGCCTTGAGGTTATATATGGGAAGTCTACCTTCTTGTCCTATGTTGAGGACATTTCTGTGGACTTCTAAGCCACTGTGAAGCAAGCAGGTGCCAGAGGCTGTCCCCACAGAGCTGCTGAGAGAGACTGAGTATGCTGACCCCAAGTGAGCCACAGCAAGGCAACACTGGGCAGAGGCCTCCTGGGAATGCCCTCTGTTCCCACTGAGCTCAGCTGTCACAGTGAGGTCCTTCCAGGTCATGGGTCAGAGAAGACAAAGGCATTGTCGCTGCTGGGCCAGGTAGAAAAGGTGGGCAGGCCATTGAGGCAGAGTGCTTACTGTTCTTCCTCGACAAACTGTCAGTCATTACAGCTGTCGAGTGAGCACTGGTCCCGTCCTGGCACCGTTTTGACGAGAGAAGAGAGCCAGCGAGTATTTCTCCTGGAGTCACACGGCCCACTCAGACCTAGAGCTTGCAGGGCTCTCTCTGTAATGAGCCTGGCCCTACCGCGATGGCAGCTACTTTGCACACGTCTGTCCATGCACAGATGCCTGGGGTCTGGGAATAGACTGACCGCAGACCCGGTGGCTGACACGGGACAGTCATGAGAGGGAGAAGGGGCCAATAACGGTCAATCTGGTGGAGGCTTCCTGCACTCGAGGGCCTGGGGTCCACTAAAGCTCCTCCCCGGGGAATCAGAGGAGCTTGAAGGTGTTTATGCAGGGTGGCCCCGAGGGAAGAGGTGAGCTGCTCTCCACCCGGCCTTACCTTCCTCAGCGACTTATCAAATAGCTGTTCCGCCGTCTTTCCCACCTCATCAGCTCTCACTTCATAACCCAGCAGGCCAGGGTCAGCCTGTACCGCCCCCGAGCGCTGCCGAACTCCATTCACCAGCACCCAGGTCTGGTTGTTGCAGGGACAGAATTCCTTTAACATCAGCCCGAATTTCCTGATGAGCTCGTGAGAAAGCCTGTGAAGGGAGTCAGAGACTTGAGGCTCTGAGAGCCAAACAGCCCTTCTTGCTTCCTGGACCTTCTTTCTGCCTCCCCTGGGTCCACCAAGACCACCCGTGGCCTTCCTCCATGAAAGGGATGATAGGCACCCGGGTCATCACACTCGACGAGAACTGGAGTTCCAAGAGGGACCTGGACTTCCTGCTGGCGGCCCTGTATGAGGGCTGAGCTCTCGGCCACTTTGTGTGGAACCTGCCACCCTCACACTGTCAAGTGTGAACACTCCAGTTCCTGGAGGCACGGTGAGAGGGGGTGTGCCCAGTGTGTCTGTGGAGCCATCCTTCCTGGAGGCTGTGTTCAGCGCTCCCGAACTTCTCCAAACTGCTCATCCCTTCAGAAAGCATTTCCTGGAAGGATACCCAGCTCCCTATCATTTGCAAACTCAGTAGACTGCTTCTGACTTTCCAGCAGGTTTATCGTGGACCACCTATCATCTGTGATGTCCTCAACTCATCCTCCTTGGCAGTCAAACCTAGCACAGTTATCTCCATACGTGGATTAAACGCTGAGGCTAGGAGATGCTCCTGTGCTGCCCTGGGGCTGGGAAATCAGTTAAGTCAGACCCTAACCCCTGGGCTTCCTGGAAAGAACTCCATCCACTGTCCTCTGCACTGGCCTCCTGGTGTGATAGCTCTCATCCTGGCCTTCATCCTCTGCTACTACTGTTCTCAGGAGTACCTGTGGTTGATAGGGATCCTCATGGCACCCAACTCTATGTACCAGTGTGCTCCAGGAACTCTGTGGGTTTCGATTCTGCCACCTACACGCCCTGAGGCCTCCAGGACAGTCACCTGGAAAGACAAACAGCTCTTTGATGAACTCAACGGGACTTGTCACATACCCTCTGTACAACATCCTCCTCCCCTGTGGCAGACCCAGATTTACCTCCCTCCCTAGTCTTCCCTCCCTCCCTTCCTCCCTCCCTCCCTTCCTTCCTTCCTTGCACAGTGCTGGAGATGGAAACCACAGGCTGTTCCTCACTCTATCACTGAGCTATGGCCCTAGCTTCATCCTGCCTCTCTCTGAAAGCTGTTCTTTGTCACTGGGTAAGCTTACCTGCTCTCTTACCCCCAGCTACCCTAGAGCTCTGGAGCTTCGTTTTGGCCCCAGCTCCTCAGGGATGTCCACAGCTTGGTCTTCTCCCTCCCTGTTTAGAGCTCAGTCTTCCCACAAGAGATTCTCCCCTGCCCCATCACGTACCTGGTGGCCAGCATCCTGCAAGATCTTGGCAGCAGTGAGTCCAGCCATGCCCGCCCCGATCACCACCACTTGCTTCCTCTCTGCTGTCTGCCCCAGGCCATTTCGGGCCAGCTGCAGCAGCTCCTCATACTGGGGATCCTCAAAGCACTTGACGAGCTGGCTGTTGAAGGCCTGGGTCTCCAAGCTCAGCACGGCCAGGAGGGTGAGAGCCAGCCAGCTTGGGAACATAGCTGTGGACGTGGCAGTTAGGCAAATGGCTAGGGATGAAGGAGGACTGGCCATACCCCTTGATCTGAAGATTTATCACTGGACCTGTGATGCAACATACCAGGCACTCCCCTACCCAAGAGAGCCTTAGTCATGGGTCCTCCCAAGTTTACCTGCCACTCTGCCTGCTAGTCCACAAATGCCCCTCAGGTCCCAAGGCCTCTCACTCGGGGAATGACACATGCGCGTGTCTACCTAAGGTGTCTTCCCTCCCCTCGGTCAGTGGGACTGCCATGCACACAGATGAGGAAGACCTGCCCACCACATTGGATTTCCCCATTTCCACCACCATTTGGGGTGCCTAGACTGTCCACTGCAATGAGAAGACCCTTACCTCAGCACCACTGTGGGAGACAGAAGATTGGAAGCCTGAAACTTTGTGTCATAGGGCAACAGTCCCCGAGAGGTGTGTTAGAGGTCACCAGGTTCCCGAGACCCAAAGGATCATCACAAGGTTGCCTCTCAGAGATGAGCATGGCTCCTTGAAGTTAGAGTTTGCCCAGTGGTGGGCCTGTGTTTTCCAAGTTCTGGTGTGTTTCTGTCAGTTCTGGCTCCACTGTGGGAGAGGCAGGCCACACCTTCCCTCCGGGAGCCCATCAAAGGTGTGTTTTTTGCGGTAGTTGAGTTCTTGGTTTCAAAGCTATCGTCTGTGTTACAGGACAAATTGTGTTTTCCCAACATTCCTATGTGGAGGCTTTTAACCCACAAGATCTCACAATTCGACCCCGTTTAGGGGTGGTGGCCTTTGTTAAAATGAAGCTGTGAGGGTTGGTCCTCCCACGATGTGATGTCCTCATGAGAAGTGGAAGTATGTAGGCCGTGGAGCCAAAAGGAGAACTATTACTGCCTCGTTCCTAACTGCATCCTAGATACTTCTTCTGATGTCCACAGGTAAGTGTCATCTCGTCCCTCAACAAAGAAGGCTCTTTTTGCAGCAGACAGAGACCATTACAGGAAGCTACAACTTGTGAAAATGAAGAGCACAACTGATTGGAGAGTACCCAGCCCCAGCTGATACATCTATAACACAATCCCTACAACGAAGGCTCACAGATGGAGAAAGACCAGGTAGAAAGACTCTACGAGCCGCCGAAGGACCAGGATGGCTACTTTGTCTCTTTATAAAAGACAGGAAGTAGAGGTAGGAAGGAGAAGGTGGGTCTGGGACGGTAGGAGGAGGAGTTATGAAATTCTCAAAAGAGTAACAGTAACATTGTATTTTTTTAAAAGAAAGAGAAAATGTGAACACTAAGAGAAACACCAGGGATGCCCACACAGAAAGGGCATGGTGGGAAACCTTCAGCGGCCAAGGCCCACCAGCAAGACCTTCGTTGAGAGGTCCATCTATGAGACATAGCATACTCTATAGTATTTTCTTACACACTTTGAGCTGACTAATCCGGGTTGTTCCTCTGCATCTTTCCCCGTGTTAGTGAAGAACAGATGGACTGGGTACCTTTCTCCACTGAAACACTCAGTAGCTTTACAGGAAGTGGAAGCAGAGGGACTGGCACCTATGTATGACTGATGGCTCTCTCACCTCATTCCACCCATCACCGTGTCCCTGGGTTCCTGTTCAATACTTGTACTCGGTACGTTAGCCAAATGCTCAACCTGTCTTATCCAGAGTGAGTCAGAAATCAGTTCTGTCTGCACAGAGCATGGCTCCTAGGAGTTCTCCGAACAGTTGAGGAATATGAGTGTGGAGGAATGAACAGAGGGAAGGTGGTGGGTGAGGAGATAGAGGGAAGGACACACAGACAGAGGTTGTTCTCCAGCCTCTGCAATAATCACAGACACTAGGCCCGGGGCCAGGGTTTCGTCTGGACTTGTCGTTGCTCATCCTCCGACTCAGCTTTGCAACCTACTTTTGTCTGCTATCCCCGGGGCTGCCTGACTCCCGACTCCCTGTGAACCTGTGCACCCGGCATCTGGCTTCTAATTATTATTGAGGAATGAACACACACACTCACACACATACAAACACATGCACACACATAAACACATACACAGAAACACACACACATGCACACACACACATTCACACACACATGCGCACACACATTCACTCACACACACAAACACATGCACACACACACAAACACACATAAACACACACACAGGCACACACACATACACACACACAAACACACACATGTACACATACACACACACACACACACACACACACCACCACCACCACCACCACCATCACCATAACCAGAATCCAGCCTTTTCCCACCCCTTGGGTTCCCCATCTCTTCTTTCTTTAAGGAGTGGAACTGGGACTAAGGAAGTGGATTCTACCTTTGAAACCGGAAGTCCCCAGTTTTCCCTCTTTGCTCCCTTGTGATGCACTTATTTGCATTTATTCACGGTACGTGTGAGCATGATTCAGCATGATGTTGTAACACACGCAGATGGTATGCACCCATCACCTAGCTACCTTTCTGTATTGCTGGAAAATGGTGCTTGAAATTCCCAGCAACCATCCCTTTAAAGAGGCTGGATCCTCTGGGAAACACCACTTCCTGGAGCTGTTTTTCCGCTGAGTCGGGGAGTTTGCACTAATTTGCTCTCACTTTCCTGTCAGGTGCCCTGCCCTGGAGAGCCATGCCGACAGGGTGACTCCAGAGGAGAACAAAGTATCTTTGAGCTTCAGGACCTGTCAAAACAACCCACAGTCCTCAGCTACATGCAGGAAAGAAATAAAAAGAACGGAGCCAGGAAACCTGTGGTGGCACTGGCAACCACAGGCATTTACTATACAAGGTGAAGCCAACGGCAGACCCACAGCCCTAGCGTCCCTCCACCTACCCTTGGCTTTAAAGAGTGCTGTGACCTACGTCTGCGGTGGGGTGACCATTGAGAAACCAGGTGTCTGCTGGAGTCAGGAACCATGTTTGCCCTATCCACGCGGTATCAACCCTAAGCCTTATGTGGCCACAGAAATATTGTGGACATGTGTGTCATGACTTTCTTGGAGGAGTGGATTAAATCTGCCAGTGAGGAACAGGACATGGAAATCGCACATCCTGAATCTGTTTGTGTCTTTGAGATAAAGCCTCACCCAAAGCAGCTCAGGCTGGCCTGGAAGGTTCTAGAGGTTACTACATGAGACCCTGCCTCAAAAAAAAAAAAAAAAAAAAAAAAAGTCTACCAAGGACCCAGTGTGGTGGCATACACCTCAATCCCAGCACTCAGGAGGCAGAGACAGGCAGATCTTAGAGTTTGAGACTAACCTGGTCTACAGAGGGAGTTCCAAGACAGCCAGGACTACACAGAAAAACCCTGTCTCATAAAAACAACAGCAAAAATCTACCAAGGGGGGAGATGGAAAGGTAACCCATTGGTTAGAGCACTGGCTAGGTTCTGTTCCCAGAACCCACAAGGGGCTCGTCATCATCTGTAACTCCAGTTCCAGAGGATCCAATGCCCTTTTCTGGCCTGCATGGGTATCAGACACACACATGACATACATACAAGCAAAACATTCATATATATATATGTGTGTGTGTGTGTGTGTGTGTGTGTGTGTGTGTGTGTGTGTGTGTGTGTATGTATGTATGTATGTATATATATATACCTACCAAAAAAGAGAACGAGAGAAAGAAAAGGTTCTAATGTTTTACACTAAGGTAACTAACCAACAACCTAACTAATATTTGTTTGTTTACTGAAACAAGATCTCAGGTAGTTAAAGCTGGCCTTGAGTTCCTGATCCTCCTGCCTCTACCTCCCAAGTGTTGGGACCACAGGCCTGAGCCACCATGCCCAGCTGTAGTTTGTGAGACAGGGTCTTACTCTGTAGCATGGACTAGCCTTGAACTCTCCATCCTCCTGCCTCAGCCTCCCAAGTGGTAGGTCCACAGGCATGTACCACCATGCCTGGCTTCCTTGCACACTTTGTAAAGAACAAGAAGAGGGGAATTTGAAAACTGGACAACAATCATTGTGTAAATGGATGAAAACACAGCCTCTGCCCTGTGATTATACACTGTATTGTGGACTAAATTATCACACTGTGCTCCGTGAATATATGGGATCACTATGTGCAATTAAAAAGAAAAAAACAGAGCTGGACATGGTGGTGAGCACCTGTAATCCCTGCACTTGGAAGGTGGAGGCAGGAGTATCAAGGAGTCAAGGTCCTCAGCTACAGTTTGAGCCAGTGGGGGATACATAAGACCTGTCATAAAAAACAAAACAACAAATCAATTAAAATGAAACGGATCCTGTCCCTTTGTTTACTTCAAAATACACCTGCCGGGTGATTTCATTTCTGTCACTGGTTTGGAAACCAGAGTCACCTTGGGTCTAGAGCTGGGCGGCGGGAATAAAAAGGGAAGGCTGAAAGTGGGTCCAGAGCCCTGGCCTAGCAGGCTCCTGGGCTTCCCACCCAGCCTGGATCCCAGGTCTCCAGGGTCTCCCGGCTCCAGGTCCTTGAGTCTGTCTGAGGGCGGGTGGGCAGTCAGGACATGCCTCTCTCCCACCCCAGAGCTTCCCCTGTCTTGACGCTCAACACAACTCTGCCTCGGGTGGCATGGCGAGGGCGGGGAGCCCTGAGAAGAGAGCCCAGGTCCTGGGGGGCCATGCACAATCTGATGCTGTCTACACACCCAAGTCGGTTCCCCTTGTCACTCACTAGGGGTTTGATGAATCTTTCCACCAGTTCTTGGCCAGAAACCTGAGGAGAGATTTGAACCCTCCTGAGTCTCTGTCCAGGGCTCCTCGCTGCTGCTTCCTTAGTTAGGGTCTTTCACCTCACCATCCCCTCCTTCCTCACACCCATCCCCTGCTGCTTCCCCCATCTGGACTGAGGGGCTTTATGACTCTGCCTGCCTGCCCACCCTCTCTCTCCTTCTCTCTCTCTCTCTCTCTCTCTCTCTCTCTCTCTCTCTCTCTCTCTCTCTCTTCCATCCATCCCTCTCTCTCTCCTCTCTTTTTCTCTTTTCCTTCTTTG